TTATTATGTGAAAACAGACATCATCTACTTATTTTAATGTTAAAAAATTATCTATGTTGTATTCAAGAAGTTTCAATTACATAATTTATTGAAAAAGAGTTTTAAAAACTTGAATTTCACTATAATAAACCGGAACATTTCTCCAAGTATTAACAAAAATTTGCAAATATATGAAATAAAACTTGGAACATTGCTCTCTATCAAACAAAAAGTAACCTTGAAGCTTAGCTAAGAAATGATGGAGTTATTAAAATTTTTTATCCAGTAGTGACGTTTGAAACACCCTGTATAGTGCGTTATGGAAAAATATATGCTAAAACATATTGTCATATCTTTTCATGGAACTCATTAGGCCGATAGTCTCCTAAAACTAGTTATTCCAATTTCTTTCATCAATTCCGATTTTGATTCGAAAAACAAATTAATACTGAATAACTCTTGGTGAGAAGGTACTGGATTAGTGTCTCGTGAGTAGTACTTTATTTCGAAAAGTTTTGAAAAACAATAAATTCCGGATTATTAAATGCATGAGTCATGATTAAATAACAATAAAATAAGCCAGGTATAGTTTATGTTTAATGGATGAGCCTTCAGCAAGGTAGGCAAGGTTATGTGTGTTTTCATATTAAATGAAATCGTTTGATTAATGAACTTTCGCTGACAGATTTAATTTTTTTGTTCGAATATTATTATCGGATGAATTTTTCTTTCTCATCGTTGAACCATTAATACCATTAGATCTAGAATATGGAAATAGGAGCTAAAATAATACAAATCTATCAATGAATGAATTCTTACATTTCATTATCATCATGATAATCGTGACGCTTTTGATTAAAACAAAACTGATCTTTTGCTTTTAAAGCCCGTTGATCAGCATAATGAATAACAGATGGAACACCTTCAACATTCGATGATCTTTGATCAGTGAAACATAATTGTAATGTTAATAATTGTAGTTCATCTATTGTTAACTTAATTTCATCCAATAGAACTGTATACAATGATAAATTATTAACGCCTTGTATAGCTTTATGGGAATTTAAATAAAATGTATACAAGTATGGATCAACGATTGTCGTATCAACAACCGTTCCAATAGGAACATTATAAGTATCACGACCATTATACATCAGAAAACGGGTATGATGTCTCTTCTTGACAATTATTAAAGTTAATAATGGAAATTTCTGTTTACCATACACCACTAAACACAGTAACAAAGTACTTTCAAGCTCGTTTGTACCTTAAAATTTGGATTACGCAGAACATCAGAGGAAATCCATCATAACAGTCTTCCAGAAAGGAGCTTCTTTGCTGGAACTTTAGAAAGTATAAGTCAAAAAGTCATATTTTTCGCAAAAGATTTTTGGCTGACCTACGAATCGAATGTTAATTTCGTTTTGAATTCTGTACTTATTCAACTTTCTCTGGCTCTCACTTACTGTGATCTTCATAGCGTGGTAAGCGGTTGTCGGCAGAATAATTCTTACTAAGAGCTAATGAAGATCCTTTGCACGTGACGCAAAAAAGAATGAGCGCAAAACCGCTTTTGACTAATTTTTTCTGTAAGTCACTGATTAAAAACTTTTTCCTTCATCTAGCGCTGTAAGTGCTTGATTCGATCGAAACTGCATGAAATAGAGCATACTTGATGCACTAATAATGGTTTCTTACGGATCCTTTTTTGATGAATCTTCAGCGGCTATTACTCCACGCTACGAACCACTTTATGATTCTGTAATCGCCTTTTTTGCCAGAAGAAGAAAGCAACTTGAATTCTTACCCTGAAATGCTTGTCGTATTTGTGGTATTTCCTTAGAATAAACTTTTGAAAACTGTCCGTCATCCACTCCTATTAAGATTAAAAATAACAGAGAAACTAGATTATTCTAAGAAACTGAATGTTGCGTCATACCGTCACGATAAAAAACGATTTTATTGGGCAATTGGCCATCATTAGCCTGTTGATATGCCTTTAGGCGTTCAATAGTTATTTCTTCTAAGTTAACAATTGTCTCTATTGAACATTTATCAAATTCTGGCCATTGTGCATAGATTGATTCTTCTACATGCGAACACCATTGATCTGTTGAACCAACAACAACTACAACACAGAACCGAATAAGAATAGAACACTTCTGACAAAGGAATTGAGCGTACCAGCTATTGAAGGATGTTGCTCTGTACAATTTGTTGAATGAATAACATCAGCCCCAAAGAACATATAGTGGGATTTTCCTTTTTCTTTCATGATTTGATCTAAATCAATACGAACATTTTCGCCATCCAATTTCGAATTGATTTCTCTTGCTATATTTTCACTATACTGACTAAATGGTGTGCGTTGTCGAGATTGTGAAATTATTTTACTGTACAAACAACATTGTGTTATTATATCTACAAATAACCATATAAAATAGATTAAAATAATTCAAACAAGATAAATGAGTAGACAGATGGAACGATAGTACGGCCGAATAATGGAAGTCTTCAGGCTTCTTTCCTCAAAGGTCATCATAAATTTTTCGGTTAGCGATGCTACTCCTCTCAAAAACCATTTTTAAAAGAAATCTTAGATAGCGATTTTTCGAAGTCTCACCATCGCACAAAAAAATACGCTACATGTAAAACACTTCACATCTCATTTTGAAACTTTACTTACCATGTTTAATTGTTCCATACTGCTTGATTATTGTTTTTAAATCACTATCAGCTGGAGTATCCATAACACACAAAACCAATTTACATTTTAGTTTTTGTTGTTGGCGAAAAAAACGATCAATATTTTCCTCTTGGATACCAACTAATTCCATCTGCTGGTTGTTACGCCGTTGACTGTAAATATCCAATCTGTCGAATTTCTATAATAAAAGATAAATTTTTATGACAAAATCAAACCACATAAATAGATACTAAGTAAACTTACGTTATTTAAAGCGATATAAAAATCCTGAACGACATTTGGAATTTGACTTGGATTGGGTGTAAAAAAAGCAGCTGTCCATAGTGGTAAATCTTGTGCATCCTGCAAGCGTCCATTAACTAATGGTATTTGTGAACCACGTATTTGTTTCGGTGTTGGTAAGGTTCGTATTGTCCCCGATAACATCTCTTGTTCTTGAATATGAAAATCAATTAATGAACATAAACGATTTAGTCGATTATTATAATCACAATCATTTACAACTGTTACAATGGCATTGTAACGTTGCTCGGGCGTCGGTATTTGACTGCGTTCAAATATTTGTGAATGTTGTTGTATGATCTTCAAATAAACAGAAAGAAATTTACAATCTGGCTACTCACACAAACCGTTAACTGAGATATTTTTCCCTTGTCGAGAGCGAAAGCATCTACATAAGCTAATTCGTGCTATTTGTTTTGTCTAATTTTATTAAGTGTGAATATGCTGAACAGAAGTTGATCTATCCCCTTATTAGTATCCAAGCCTCAACTCTCTAGTCATGATATTTCTTTATCGGATGAAAATTGACCGGCGCGTTATGATTCGATTCCATTACAGGAGAGAATCTGCAAAATATGAAAAAACAGAACTTTCGGATCAAGTTGTGAAACTCATCACATGATACGCAGTGTGATCGAAATTCTAGAATCACAGTATTACTTAAGTAAGAGCAAAGTTTTATCGGATAGCAACTAAAATGAATTTCGAAATAAGGATATGAAAAGTTTATTAAATTTTTAAAAATACAACAGAAAAAGCCAAAAACTATTAAAACTGTATAACTCCGACAAGCAATGTCTCTAGGTCCGAAAAAATTCTGTATATATATTTTAAGCTGTCCTCTACGAATGACAAGTTTGAGAAAAATCTAAATGGGCAGAACCTCGGTTAAATTAATGTTAGAATGGTGGATCTATGTTGCCTTGTGTTGTTGAGCTGATATATGTAGCGTCCGATCTGCAGAACGTTTCTGTTAATCTTCATACGATCTAAGGTTTTAAACAGTTATAAGAATGTGAAGAAAATAGAACATTTTTGCCATGTATCAACAGCAACACAACGTGGTTGGTATACTTTACTATTGTTTAGTGTAAAGAAGAACAAAATGTTCTTTACTTTTCTAAACAATAAAAAGTCAAAAGAGCTTCTAAAAAGAAGAAAAAAATCTAAAACGTATAAATTTTATGGTTGCTAGAAAACTAGTCTCAATCGAAACATGCAACATCTACAGCAGTACAGAAAACGGAGCATGAAGGAGGTTGTTGCTCTTAAAATATCGAAGAACACGTATTCTGGTTTCTCTTAAGAGACGATTTGTCAGCACACCGAGAAATGCTGTCACGAGTAAAAAATTAACATATACTGTTTTTTATATTTTCAGATTCTACAGTGAACACCGGGGTTATGAAAAAATTTTTCGACTGCTAGACCTCATTTTTGTCGAGTTATAGAACTTACAAAATGAGATCCATCGAAGATTAGCGAAAAAGTGACCTTTGCAATATTTTAAGTATAACTCCGCCATATTTTATCCGTTCTGTTCGTGCAACGTTTCGTTGGAAATCCTGACTAAAACGAACAAAATGGAGTGCTTTTTAAATTTCTAATGCTGAAACGGAAGCTTTTAGAGGTCAAATAAGTGAGAAAATAGTGCTTCTAAAACCGAAAATTTTCAAATAAAACCAGTTTTTTGGTACCTGAATAACATTTGACTATACCTCCGAACATGCCATCGGATACAGTATTCAATTCTCTACAAACTGAGAGCAAAAAGTTTGCTTTAGAACCACCATGAAAACCGCCTTACAATTAGGCACACACACTAATTACTTCATCGTTTGTTTTTTAAAAATCAAACGTTTGATGTAAAAAAGAATATTTTCTTAGCAAATGAAGTCTACTGATTACAGTATGATCACTTTTATGTCATTGACTCTCATTGAATATGTGGTTTTCAAACGTAGTTATTTTTTCTTTCTTGAAGACGACGTTTTCTTGATTGGTACATCGAGGTGGACGCCCTGCATTTATCCGGTGACAGTGGACGATTTTGAAGAGATTGATGATGTGAACGAGGACTTTCGTTGTTACCTGTCTTCTGCCGTAGGTTTTTCGCTGTGTTACTCCGGCAGATATCTGTTCGTCTACGTACTCGAAACGTAGTAAAAAGAATGGATATTATGCTTTTATCAACACAAACATATATCTGACTTTAAAACATAGTTAGCTATTCTGTTCTCTGATGTAATCTCTCTCTGAAAAACACGTGGTGTCTAGTCTCATCATCTCGACAACTACTTGTATCACTCTCTGTCTATCTCACACGTGTCTCTATCTATAACATCTCTCTAAAACTCATCACAGAGTATACAGGCTACCTCTGAAATAAACTGAAAACCTTTTTCTAAATCAGTTTCCAATGCTGATTCAGAAAAATATAGTTCGAGCCTTCCATCTTGCAATACAAGCTCAAACAATCAATTTCATCATAGAGGACGGTTTTTTATACTTTTGAGGTCCTCTCAGTAATTTGAGTTTTTCTTCATGAAGAAATGGCCTTTGGGGGGCTGGGAAGGTGATATTCATGATCAGCTCCATGCGCTGAACAAGAATATGTATAATAAAGCACAAAAAAAAATTTCACTCGAAGTTTGCTTTACGTGCATCTTACACACAAACTACTTAAGAGTCTTGTGTTCCGTATCTTCCACACATACATTGAAATCTCTGTTCAGTGCACACGCTTCGATTATCTGCTGATAGAGACTATCATTGTAGTATTTTTTTTTTTATATAAACTTTTTTATTTCGATGATGGACAGAACAAATCGAGACCATTGTCACATTAAATGTTCATAGTTTGCTTAATACGTGATTAAGAAATCTCAAGTTTATATGGTTACTGTAAAGATTAAGGGGAAAGAGAACATATACGAGAAGAGAGAGAAAAATTATATTCAGTGGAGATATCACAGGTAAAGGCGAGAGTCACAGGAGTAGGCGCGAAATGGAAGTTTTTGGTAGCACAATGGAGTTGTGAAGATTATTTAAAACGGGCAGTGTTAGTTATAAATTTTTGACATACTGCTTCATATATTTTGAAATAATTGGTTTTATTGAAGCATATCACCGGAACAAAAAAAATAAAGTTGGTTTAGAGTTGCTGAAAAGTGATTTTTCGTATTCAGCACACTCGATAACCCAGAACATTTTCTATTTTTGGCTCGGGGTACTTCCGAAAGTTTAAGAAAAATTTTGAAACAAAATGGCGCAAAAAGTTTTCCATGGAAAAATAATATTAATTTGAAAACTTTTCCTAAACTTTCGGAAGTACGTCGGGCCAAAAACAGAAAATCTTCTGGGTTATCGAGTGGGCTGAACACGAAAAATCACTTTTCAGCAACTCTAAACCAACTTTATTTTTTTTCCGGTGTTATGAATGATCTTAACAGCATAGCATTTTTATTAAACGGAATATTTAGTATTTTAAACTGATTAATTAGGGCGCTTCTATGAGAAGAATAGTTAGAGCAACCAAATAGAAAATGATTACAGTCTTCCTTAAAGGACACTGGTGGAGACAGAGATAAACAGTGGAGACAGTAGGGAGCTGTAACACATATTCTTTGGAAGAGATAAGAGTTTAACTGTGGCGAATCTACTCTGAAACGGCAAAAGAGGGCTTCTGTGCGTCGACTAGTTGTGATATTTTTAAATGGTTCTCTGTTAAACTGATACTTAGGTCTTTTCTGAATATAGAACTTTTGTTTTTTAAACAAAGCGACGGTGATTTTGCTTTAATTTTAAAAAACATGCACATGCGATTTACTTCGAATAGGTTCCTGATCGAGAGCCATCCAAGATCGTTAAGTACTTTGTTAGCATCGCTGCCGCTCATAGCGCCTATCCCCCTTATAGCAATTTAATACTGAGCTGATTGTAATTTATCTAAGTTTTTTGCTGTTGTTAATGACTAAAGTTCACTGCCATAGCTTATTACTGTAAGGAGGAAGCTTTTGTATGTAATATCAAGTGCTGCTCTGTTAACATTTCATTTTATTAATTTCATGTAATTATGGGTATGGTTTATTGTATCAAGCACTTCGCTTACATGAGTATCGCACGGGTGTTAGTGATAGACCGAAGTGTTTGTGCAGCATCGCTTCTAGCAAAATTTGATTTCTTATGAACAGAGGCAGATTATATTGTTTTAAACATGCTAGATTCCTTACGAATGTCATGTCTTTGGTTTTACCTATGTTTATATCAATTTGCCATGTGTCACACCAATTAACTATTTTAATTAGGTCATTGTTTAATCTATTAGTAGAATGTGCATATGATGCGTGAGTATGGAGCAAAGTAGCGTCATCAACAAATAATTTTAATAAACACTCTAAGTTGTCTCCAAGTTCATCAATAATATGAGAAACAACAGGGGGTAAGAATGCTCCCCTGAGGAACGCCACAGTTGATGATCTCCTCGTCTGAGACGCAGCCGTTGACTACTATCCTGATTTTTCTCAAATGTAAATAACTTTTTAACCACCGTACAACTTGTTCTGATTCACCTTTTTGTCTTAGTTTATACAGCAGTCCTTCATGCCAAACTGAGTCAAACGCACGCGAAAAGTCTAAAAATACTGCTCTCACAAATTTATTATCCTCTATACCTCCGTTAATGTAGTGAATGAGCATGATTAGTTGATTAACGGATGAGTCCTTTTTAACGAAGCCAGACTGGTTAGTTGAGATTAGTTTATTGTTAAATAGATAAGAATATAAATATTTGAAGATAACTCTCCATGATTTTGCCCAAAATGGGTAAGAGTGTAATGGGCCTATAGCTGCTAATTAAACGTTTATCATTCTTTGTATGAATAGGGCAAATTTGTCCTAGTTTGAAAGAATTTGGAAATTGGGAGAAGTTTAGGCTCTCGTTACATAAATCAACAAGAACTGGTGCTAATACAGGTGCGGATTCTTGTACAATTTTTGTAGTTAACTCATCTGAAACTGCTGTGTGCGGATTTAAGTTTTTTAAAATCTGATAAACATCATGATATGATACTATAATTTTTTGCATTCTGCACTGTGTTCTGCAGGTAAAGGGTGGAAGTTGTTTGTTATAGTTAATTAATGACATCGTGCAAGTAGAGGCAAAATAACGGTTAAAAAGATTAGATTTCTCTTGGGCAGTATTTGTGGTGTTAGCAGCTGGTGTGAGTAGTGCTGGAATGATGTTAGATTTGGTGCGATATAAAGCGTGTTTAATTAGATTCCATCATAATTTTTGAGAGGAAGGGAAGGCTAACGGTATTTTCCTAAAGTATGATGATTTGGCAGAGATGCAAGCATCTTGTAATAGTGAGTTTGCTTTGTCGGCGCATATTTTATCTCTATTTAGGCTAGTTTTGGAATAAACTTGGTATAAATTATTTCATTTTTTGAAGAGTTTTCGTAATGACCCGCTAAACCATGCCTTATCCTTACATGAAAGTGTAATTAATTTATTGGAGTATTTTCTCTTGAATAATCTAAGAGGATGGAGGTCAGACATGTAGTGCGTTCATGTACATTTGTATGATTTTTTAGTAAGCGGTTAAAAGGAATAAAGCTGAGTTTATTACGAAAAATATCCCAATTGACAGCTTTGTAATCACAGATAAGGCACTTAGTTGGTGGGTTATGATCAGTTTTTGTTAGTAATGTAAACTGCACTCCAGAATGGTCTGTATCAGTGAGCATTTTAGTGATGTTAGGTATTATTTGAACATTAGTAATTCTGGTTATGTTGCTAGTAATTATAATATCTAAACATGTGTCTGAAACTATCCGAGTAGGTTTATTAACTAATTGGGCAAATCCTTTACTACTGATATAGTCTCGCAACACAATTCTCTCGGGAGTCGATGGTTTACTGGATGTACATCAGTCTGAACAATGAGCAACTTTTTTTTGTTTTCTTTTTAAACTTTATTTATTTATTGATGAAACAATAAGCAGTTAAATCACCTAAAATAATAGTTGCGTCAAAGAAACATTTTTTAGTTGCATAGTGTAGAAGAACGTTATCTATGTGGTTACAGATATCATCCAAATCATTTTGATCAGGCCGATAACACAAGAAGAAAAGATATTTCTGTTTTGAAGCAGATGTTAATGTAAATATTACTATTAATTCTAGATCACCGGTTTCTAAGTTAGGATGCCGCTTTATATCTAAATCTTGACGTGCATACAATAGGCAACCTCCCTCCCCCTGTCGATTCCTATCTCTTCTAAGTGATGCCAGATAATTTGCAAGCGCTATTCTACGGTGGTTCGAGTTAGCCAAGGATCAACGATTGCAATGAGAGCCGAGTTTGAGTTAGTAGCAAATGCACGAAGAGCGTCTAATTTGATAAATGAAATAATAGTGGTGTCAGATTTACACGCATTTGGAAACGCAAGCGATAGAAGACTACGTACGTTAAAAAGTGATATTTGTAAATTTCCATGTGCTCCTGTTATATTTGAATTATGTGACATCATTCTGATAAAAAAGAAAACAAGCGCTACTCCTAGTCATCTCGCAACGTGTTGTAGTAAAGCGAAGGAAAGTTGTCCTAGAAAACAAGGGAAAAATAAAAGAATGTTTTGTGTATGTAGTCATGCCTATGACGAATGATGCAAAGATTATCACCCTATACACTATCAACAACAGTTTAACTAGAAGGAAAAACTAAAGGAAAGGAGAAAGAAAAAACACTATGAGCATTTATAAACTTAACAGTGTCAATAATGAATCATATTCTATTTACCCAGGTTGTGAGCACGTTGAATCGGTTTGAGCTGGATCAAAAGTCTGTGGCTGATAGGAAATCGTATCGATACTATTAACTAAATTTAAATGAATACGTTTTCCAGCATCTGCATAATAGAAGATACACCCGTTACTGGAATATATTCGGTGACGTTCGCCTTTATCTAATTTTGCTCTCGCTGTTTAGAAGATTTCAAGGTTGTGTCGCAATAGATCTTCAGATATTTTCACTTTTGAAATGGATGTTCTGCATGCAGTTGAGACAGAGCTCCCTTTGAAGATAAAATTTAACGACGAATCGGTCGAAAATGAAACCTTGCTATTTTAATACTGGTGGATATTTCAGGGCACCTAACTTCTTCAGTTTAGTCGGGATACGATGAGCAGTTTCAGTTAAATCGTAATCGATTTCGATTCCCATTTCATACGCAACATTTACCACTAACTGAACAGGATCTTCGTTTCTCACAGGCGGCACGTTAAGAAACCGAAGGTTGAATGATCTATTATATCTTTCCATTTCATCCACTCGTTCGTTATTACCAGCTATATCACGTTCAATTTGTTTTAATCTTTCCTTAATATCACACAAACGTTTTTCCAGACGAGCATTGAGAACCGGTTGGAGAATATTGACGAGCAACTTTGAATCAATATCATCAAGATTAATGGTTGTCTGCTGATCAGCATTCTTTTTTACAATATCTTTTGAGAGATTTGGATCAAATCTTGCAATGTACTACGTATTTCTTGATCATGCTTTAATACATCAGGTAACTTCGTATTGAGATCGAAATTAAAATCAGGTTTCACTGTTAGTCTACTCGAATTATTTCTTTTCGACATGGTTAAATTGCACTCGACTAGTAAACGTGTGTGTACAGGGAAATTATCATTTCGTCACGATGAATCCGAGCTTCGAATCTCCACCTTCCTCACGAACTCCGATAAAAATTTCAATACTGAAGACGGTTTGATACACTTTTACGAACTCCGATCCAAATTTTGTCACGAACTGCGGAACCTTTTATCATGTTGATATAAGCTTTATTCTGTCAGAATACAAGCGGAAGAATATTCCATTATAGTATTCTAAACTAAAACTATCGAAAAACACAAAATCAATTTTTGTACGAATACAGATTCGAACATGTGAACTTAGCTTTGTAGTAAACTACAAAACTAAATTCACCGTTCTGTATCTATATTCTGTACAACGATTGAAGTTGTGCAATCGACTCGATGTTATCAGTAGTAATTTTTTGGT